AATCTGATTTTTCGACCTCACTTGGAAAATGTGGGCTATTCCATGGGTAATTAGCAGCAGATTGGAGCTCACCTACCATCGATGACTGGTCTCGGAATGGGATTTCCTCCCGATAGTCAAGAAAATGATGCAGACGGCACGATGAGTGAGCTAGGCACGAAAAAGCTGCTCTTCACGAAAAGACTGTTATTTCAGCTCGAAGACCAGTCATCACCAGTAGGCTAGTCGTAGTATCGCTGTTGGCTATCAGTCAGCCATGACTATCCTAACCCCATTTTTTCGAAGTTGAGTCAGAACCTCAGATTTCGCTAAGGTGCTAGGGGTTATTTGACCCCCTGAACACGAATATGATATCTTGCGCGAAGGAGCGCTGTGAGTCGCGCTACAGGTGCCAACGCTTCGGCGCCAGCGCGCCCGGAAGAAGAAAAACAGTAAAGAAACCTCCATAACTCCGCTCAGAGAATCGTTCCGCAAATTTTGAAGACAGTTTTGAGTTCACCGTCTCAAGACGAGTACAATGATGTGCACCTCATTGCAAATGGCCGGGCTGACCTGTTGAACTTTCCTGGTCAGAACACTTCGTTCTAGACTAGAGGCGTCCAGAAACTTGTCTTAGATAACAACCCAGCATGACTCACCTTGGATCCACGGCAGATTTTGGTTGGGACCACCGGTAAACTGATACCTCGTGTTCAACTGACCTAGCCCTTCAACTTGGGGCTGATTGCAGGTGAAGCTCACAAAGGTCAGCAAACGTGGCGAGCACACTTGTGATAGCGAGGCATTCGTCTTTTCTGTTCATTTTATTGCATATAGCGCATATCCGAAACTCTCCCAAAGTTTTTCGTGCAGAAGTCTGGGGTTTCTATCAAGACCGCACTGCTACCTCAAACTCTGGAATGACCAGCCACGGCTCCTGGACTAGACCGCGTTAGATCGTCTGAGTGTTCTTTCATCATGGAGCATAGGGGACGCCTAGTTTCACCAATGTACTCATCTCAACAATGTGTGCATGAGATCAGGTATCACACCTGAACCCATGCGTCCCCCTCCCACCGAGGACAGGTAACACAAGGTGGCGTTGAGCAGTAGCGATCATATTCGCAGCAGCGAACTAACTGGTAGGAGGCTCGCCGGAGGAATCTCAACAACCCGAACCACATTGTTGAGTCCCACCCCCGCGCAAAAACAATCGCAAAGCGGCGCTGATCGAGTCGCACACCTGCGCGAAAACAGTCATAAACGCGCTTGATCGTAATAAATTACGAATACATAGGAAAAAGGCTGCCTTCTCCTAAACCGTTGGAATCAGAAGGGCTGGACGCTCCTGTTCGAGCGCCATCATCTTTATAGTCATTCAGTCGATCCACTTGCAGCGTCATCAGTGGGTCTGCCCTATTCAAAACACAGTCACTAAGATACTAGGCGGAGGCCCACCACCATTCCGACTTTGCCACTGATGAGCTTCTCATTCTATTATGGTGAGGACAATAGGCGCACGAATGGAGAAGCAGAACGTTTGTCTCCACCATCCCTTTTCCGTCCACTGCGATTTATCGCGGAATGTCAACGTAAAATCTCAAAAAGAAACTGCGGAACAAAAGTTACCCACCATTTTCCTTGCACAGTACTTGACAAATCCGATTTAGGTCTTTTCGATTTTTCTCTTCTACTGGTCGGGAATCTACTGTCGATACATACAGTATGCCGGTGCAATCCTTCGGTATTGGCCTCCGAAGAATCGACAATATGCGCAGGTAACCTGCTGAGTGGTTTGCTTGTCGCATGGTATTAATCGCTTTAGCTATGGATTATCGATTTTTTAGTACTTTCCAATTTTCACGGCTCCACTCATCGCCATCATATCACTGGCATGGTTCATTACAAATGTCTTCTACACAAATACGCCGTGTGCCACTCCGCTTTACAACTGCCGATGGTGAGTAAGAGCCGGGAGCCCCTAGTGATGCATACGCGAACAGATTTGCTAATTCCGCTTGCGAACCAGACTCCTCTTTGCTGAATCGGTGCCAGAGGACAGGAGTGCATAAGTGGAGGCACAATGGACTGCCTGCCACTTCCCCCCCACAATGGTACGTGGAATGTGCACGGATCTTCACTAAACGCATTTCTGCATTTATTTTCTTTTCATTTTATCTTTGAAGCTGTGTCATTGATCGTCTCTAAACGGAATTCTGCATTTTTTCTTATTCATTTATCTTTAAAAATGTGTTCTTGAAGGAAATGCCGTCGGCTGTGTTCTGCTCATTATTGGCTGGGATCAGCGCCGTGATTGAAATTCATTATTCAATTGACTTTAATCACTTGGAGTGGAGCGAAAAATGGAGCTGGGCTGCTGTAAGTACCAATTTCCCTGGGGAATTTCATCTACCATTTATAGCCATTCATTTCAGGCCGATTCTGTTGCGCTCAGTGCCATTCACGCCGTGCTAGCCTTTGCATTACAATGAAAGGTCAATAGGCATTTTCAGCAGCACTCGAACTGTTCTTTGTTTACCGCAGTGTCTTGTAGATAGTGAAAGCCCCGATACTCCAAGAGTGGTCGGTCTCGGACCCGTTTTGTAAAAATGTACGCGTTTGTGAATGTTTTAAAATTATTCTGAGGGCACAATCAGGGCTTTTTCATGTGCGAAGTCAAGAATATGATGCGTCTTCTCCGCCACGCCTCTCTCTGTACCGTAGTAGAGCGAAGAGCGGAGGAAGACAATAGTAGCTCCGGCTCCGCCCACATGACGAGCGTAAACCGTGCCATTAATCCGCGGCACTACAATAGCTTGCTTGGTGGCAACAGTGAACATAATGCTCCTTTCTTGAAGACCCTCCCGATTAACTCTTGCAGCGTCTTGCAGTTGTGGAAGAATTTTGCAAAATACGACCCTTCTCAAAATTTCTCTGGTACGGCCCGACCCCCCCTTCCCCCTTCCCCCCAATGCTGCCTACCATCTCCCTAAGCTTTACCAACTTCCTGCCACTTCTCCGGAGATTTCTTTTTCAACAAAACTCGAAGAGGGGTCGAGGAGTGAATGTCGCGTGAAACGTGGGAAAACTCCAAAAAGTTGTCACGAAAGCCTCACTCTTAAACTCAAATACTCAAGGCGATCAAGCAACAACCCCTTTTGAACTCAAAGAACGTGCTTGCCCAATAGCAGATACGCTCAACACTGGGTATAACGCTCATTTCCTTCTAGTGCAGGTAGAGGCAATTCCATTCTGTTCGGCGGATCAGGCCGCTAGATGGCAATAGCGAGGGACGCACCAGTGGTGATGACACACTAGCAATCTTGACTTCGTCCTTGTTCCGATGGCCTTGGCGCTCTTGTCACTCACTCCCGAGTAGCGATTCATAAATGTTAGATGCCCTTTTAGAGAAAGCTAGTTGACAGTTGATTATATAGCCATCTTCATCAGTGACCCTGCTAAACCATCTCCGTACTCTTGAATTGACTTTTTTAAATGCATACTTAGGACATTTGTGCATATTCATCATAACAGCAGCTTGAAGGACTTTCATTCTTCAGGTTGATGACTCGTTTTGCTCCTACGATGTGCCTCTGTTGTTATACTTACTTGCACTGACTCACATTAAAAGTAACTATGTTTTGTTATTTACTGGTCTCTGACGGGACTCAATTTGTAAAGCGCTCATTTTCGGCACTATCCTGGTCCACTTCACAACCAGAAAGTTACAGGAAGTAATGCACGGAAAGTATCAGCAAGGCATGGGTGTGGGCTTAGTCCCGTCCGAGGTCGAGTTCCTTGCCCATAACTCAGCAATATTGTGATCACATTATAATGGTCTTTTCGTTGTGTGGACCAGTCCCCCAGAAAATCGTTCTGATCTTGATCATGCATTTTTCTGTTGCTTGGTCTGTTTGATAATGAATCTTTCATAAGTGCATGGCTCACCAAGACAATTCATGAACGAAAATCAAAGTCCAGTACTTACTTTAAAAAATCAAGTAAAGTGACATTCACCAGAGATTGTGCATGCAGGGCTTCACGTCACCAAGATCAAATGAAGAGATTCTGTGAGAACAGGGTACAGCATCGTTGTGTCTCTGAAGTACAGATTCGGAATCATGTCAGGGGATGAAAGCACGCCATGTCTGGGGGAGGGGATAATCATCCATCTTTACAGGAAGCTAGTAATGGCCCCCCACCACCCTTGGATACCTCTCCAAAATTTTATGGGTTCTGAACTCAAACACAATAGATTACGAGAGAGAAGCCTGTAGTATCTAATGTCAAAAATCGCCAGTGAGGACAGAAGCCTGTAGTATCTAGTGACAAAAATCGCCAGTGCAGCGCTGTGCTGGTCCTGCCGCCGTATGATAGACTGCGCTTATCACTCGATTGTGGTATCGCGGGCGATCGAAGTTCTGCGCCCAAGAGAGCTAGGGTAATTACGGTAGTTGTCATCGAACGGTTCAGGGACCGAACCTACCAAGAAGGCAAATCCT